ACTCCTTCAAGCCCAGTGTTTTCAACAGGAAATATATGTATGCATTTGACACAGATATAGGCCAACAATAATATTTAGCTCACTGAACTTTTTCAATGCCGTGTTCTATGGAGGTTTTCAAACTAATTGCTGGTTTTTCTGCTGTTGTATTACAGCTGGAGTGGAGAATCCCCACAAAAAAATCCTGCTAACCTGCAACGTTAGCATTCCTTCTTATTTAGCCTTGCTGGCTGGAATTGCTGAAGAGTTTTACACATGGGAGGCTATGGGTTCAATGTTCTTAGATTATTATAAACACAGCTAGATTTGAAGGAAGGAAAGAAATTGGAATACTAGAAGAATGAATGAAAAGCCAAAGTTCTCAATTTCAAATGTGTACTGTAAATATGTATCTCAGATTTAAAAATAAAGAAAAGGCAGTTATGGCTAGCCCTTGACTTACAACAGTGCACTTAGTGACCGTTCGAATTTACAATGGCTCTGAAAAAAGTGACTTGTTTTGACTGTTTTCACACTGATGACCACTGTAGCATGGTCTATTCCAGTGGTTCCCAAACTTGGCAACTTTAAGACTTGTGGACTTCAACCCCCAGAGTTCTCCAGCCAGAAGAGCTAGCTGGAGAATTCTGGGAGTTGAAGTCCACAAGTCTTAAAGTTGCCAAGTTTGGGAACCACTGGTCTATTCTATTAGAATACTATAATTTGGTTTCTTAAATTAAGTAGGGATTATACTGCAGAGCCTAATAGTATTTTCCAACTTTAGCTATAGGTAACCCTTGTTTAGTCGCAGTTACAACAATAATGAATTATTGATGATCACAAATTATAATGAATAATTTGTGATCAAATCTCAGATTTATGACCTTCGTTATAAAGCAAAGGAAAACTGAAGTAAGATCATCAGCACAGTCTTGGTTTTCCTTAACAATCCTTTGTTTAATGACTGAATTGACAGTCCCAACTGTAGCTGCTAAGTGAGGACTATCTTTATAAGCATCAACATAAGAGGTGGGTTGCTCCCAGTTCGGCCTGGTTTGGCCAAACCTGTGGTAGTGGCGACGTAAGGCCCCACCCACCCAGACACTTCTGTGCATGCGCAGAAGCGCTGTGCGTGCGGTAGTGTGCCAGAACTGGTAATAAAAATATTTGCAACTCACTACTGATCAACATGAACATACTATGACAAACAACATGTAAAATCCTAAAATCTGCTACATTTACAGATGTGTGATCTGAAAGGGCATTTCTACTATTCGTAGAAATATCTGACTAGACAATAGCAATTAGGCATACATAAGTAAATGTTTAAAATGCCAAATATAATAAAATTATCCTATGAGATATTGTTTTGAAAATATTTTCTAAATACATTCTCAAAGTAACACCCATTTTTTACTGGTACTGATACTAATTTAAATTAGATAAAAGTGTAACTACCTAGGTAACAAAGTATCTTAAAACTCCATGAAACTATTATTATTATTAAATTATTATATATTTTCAACAGGAGGTGGCAGTGCAAGCTTGCAACCAAATACTCCCAATATAGTAGCATTGTGGCAAACATTCAATGAGAGTGGCTCAATGCTGTGCCTTCAGAATTCCAACTAATATAAAAATAGATGTGTTATTTTTCTCTTCTGCTGACATGAAGATCCATGCATGGTTAAAATCAGTCACAGCTCAAAAGGAATTTTGACTCTATGTTCTAGCCATATTAATATGTCTGATGTTAGGACTACACTTTCATTGCCACTATTAATGAAACATTAATATTTTAGAAGTTGACAATAAATTTCATTTATATTTGTTTTTAAAAAAATATTTTATTTGAACATAAGTTTCCACAAATTGGGTACTATTTTTTTTAAAAAAATGGGAAGTAACAAACAATTTTCATAGAAAACCTGCCAACAGTATCAAGAAAGAATTTGTAGAGTTATAATAATTCTAACATTTAAACAGTACATTTTTATAGTCAAAAATCAATTAACAGTTCAATAAGCTGATGTAACACGTATAATTAACCTTACCTTCCAAAGAGTTTTTGTTCAGCTGGGAGAAAGTCTGCAAGACATTTCCAGAATGTCTAACTGACAGATTTTGGTCACTATGAAAAAGGATATACTAATTATCAACTGCCTGTACAAATAGTATAACAGAATTCACCAACCCTGAAACATTCTTCTGAAACTTGTTTAAAAAATGGCTAAATGTTTCTAAACAGGAATCTAGAAATTCAACAAAGAAATATATTTTATATAAAAAAGTCAAACCTTGTTCCTCTTTTCTCTCACCCCTCCCACCCTCTATGAAAACTGACAATAGAAAGCAAACATCAAGAGAACATACCTAATTAAAGAAAAGTTAAATGGAAAAAAGGGAAGCAACAATATTTCACATGATTATAATCTAGTATAATCTAGTACTTTTACAAAACTCAGTGTCCTTATTCTATTTGAATAACTCAAATATTGCCATCTGAATATAAGTAATGTTACATCTGGATCTTAATAAAATGTGTTTAAATGACTTCCCCCCTCCAAATATAGGAAATTTTCATAGATAATGTCCATAGTAAAGATTTGATTTGATGAATTAATTAGCAAATATTTTCTATTTGATAATTTATAATCAAATATAAATAGAAAATCAATGCAAGTAATTCTACTTATAAGACAACTGGTTTTGTAATTTCTTTTCTCCCAAGCTTTTAACTACCAACAGAACTGGAATACCATGAAGTCTATTATGATAAAAATGTTTATTTCATTTTAAAATTAAAATTTGGTAGGGTGTTTGTACTATGGTATTGTTATATAGTGATATATACGTATTTTGTATAATTACAAATATATTTTTAATATCATTACCTGCAGAAAATGTTTTCTTTCAGACTGTTGGGGTCAACTGGGCTGTTTCCTTCAGTAACTGGTGAATCCAAATTAGCAGATGCATTGCTAATATGATCACTGCTTTCATAGCCAGATTCAGTTCTTTGTGCCTGCCAATTATCAGGATGAACTTTTCTCTCTACAAATCCTGTTATTTTTTCTCTATTTCCTTTCTTTTCCAAATCTAGTGAATTCTGGCTTCCTCCTTGTTTTGCTTCATCTTCATAGATAGTCATCAGACCCTTCTGACTCTGAATTTCTTTGGAACAGATGACTGAACTCTGCTCCTTTTCATGTTTTGGTTTATTGCTTGCATTTAGCTTGGATTTTGAGCTATGTTCCCTTTTCTCTGAATCAATAAAGATGCTATCAACATTCAGAGTTTCTCGCATGGGTTTCCAGCCTCTGCTTCGACTTCTGCTGCTACTGATGCTTCCTTTGTCTTTGGAATCTTGGCTACTATCTGTTTCATAACCAGCTGTGTTGTCAGTTTTCATACGGTTCCCCTTCTCTCCATCTTCCGTTTTATTTGAGCTGAATGTCTGTACAGTGGGTCTAATTTGATTGTGCACCTTTTCATGCCGATAAGATCCTCTCCCTTGACTACCATATAGACGTTCATTGGAATGATGCCTAAATCCAGTTCCAGAAGGTGGTGATCCTGCCTTAAGATTAGTGTGTATTTCTCCTGATAGATCTTAAACAAAGTACCAAAACAGATTATTTATAGTATTCACATTTAGACTTTCTTCTTTATATAAAATATATTTCAGTTCCTTAGAATTTCAAGGCAAAGTTATATAGATTTAATGCATATGGGAGGAATTAGCCAGAAGAAAATTCTGTTACCTTTTTGTTTTCCAGATTCTCTCCTTGATCCTCTGTCAGGATTTTTTCTTAATGATGATGAGTAACTTTTCATCTCAGCTGCCTTTTGAGCACATTCTCTGGAAATATCTTTTGTTTTTTCCCTATGATCATTATGACCCAATTTACCTGCAGCAATAAATGAATCATAGAGTACACGTTTACAGTAATGGAACAGACAAGAAGACAATCTAATTCAAATTTATCTAAATGTTTTGAATAGACCAAAACAAGAACATAACAACAAATATAAAGAAGTTTACCTCCTGCAACATATAATGCTTAGCAGATTGCAATCATATTATTTTTTTAAAAGCAGTGGGTTAATATCCTGTATTTTGGGGGAATTCACTAATTTTTCTTTAGAGGCATTGGAAAAATGTTGAATCTCTGAGGTTTCTTTTTTTTCTGAAGAAGATACTGAAAATGATAAATCTTAAAAGCAGCACATATAGCAGTAGGTTCATTCTCATACCTTCCCTTTTCCAAACCTTAATCAGACCAGGAATGAGGAAAGCAACAAGAAGATCACTCCCAGCAGCATGTAGAAACTGCATTCTAGATTCTATGGTTAAGAAGCCAATAATTCTAAAAATACCTTAGGTTTTTAAATATACTACCCTCCATACTCAAATCAGATTTGGAATAATCACACTATTTGAAATTACAGGAAGTCCTCAACTTATGACCACAATTAGGACCAGAATTTCCACTGCTATGCAAGGTGATTGTTGAGTCATGCACAATTTTTTGATCGTTTTTGTCCTGGTTGTTAAATGAATCATTCAATCATTAATCAAATCCGGCTTACCCCAATAACTTTGCTTGTCAGAAGCCAGATGGGAAGGTCACAAATGGTAATCACGTGACCTCAAGATGCTACAATAACTGCAGATACATGCTGGTTATCAAATGTCCACATTTTTATCACATGATTATGGGATGTGGCAATGGTCATAAGTGTGAGGACTGGATCTAAGATTTTTCAGTGCCACTGTAATGTTGAATGGTCACTAAATGAGGACTACCTGTAATTTCAAATATTGTTTTTAATTCATTTGATTCTCCTTCTCTAGTTTGAGGATTTATGTGGAGAACATATTATGTTTTAGGTCATATTTATGTAGAAATATTGAAATTACAAAAGGATCTGATTCACAAAATTTGAGCACCACTGTAACATGGTAGCTTGCTGGACATTTTATATAATTAGTTTTTATAATCTCTTTTTAATAAAAGTTTTTTTATTTTTCGCTTTCAAAACAGACACAACACAAAAAATCCTTTCTTTACATACTGTAGAAAGTGTTTCAGTTGGTTACAAAAAATTTTCATGTGTTTCTTTCACAGTCACCCATGATTCATATTAATTCTAGTATTTTAAATCAAATATATTTGTACATATTACCATCATCCTACCCCTATTCTCGTTTGACTATAATTGTTTAAACGTCCATCATAAAACATACCAAAACTCAAGATATAACCACATACTGATATCTCATTTGCTATTTCTAGTATCCCAATAGCACTATTCCTTATGGACTAACATCAATAACATTTAGTAACAAAGGTTTATAATCTTCTTTTTCAAATCACTGTTTACAATTTACATCCAATTTTCCCATATTGTACCCATACCTATATATACATTGTTATCATTATCTCTCCTTTATTTGACTATATCCATTATCATAATTTAATTCTTTTTCATTAATCTTTATATGTAACCAAACCATTTCTCATCTTCCTTTCATAGGTACCATTCAATATTCATATCCAATTACTACTTGTTATACCAATACACATGTATACATTATCATCATTTTCAATTGTTTATTTAACCATATCTATTGTCACTAAATTTCACTAAGTCATTAATTTCATTAATATAATGTTCAATTACTTGTAGAAGGTAACATTTTAAAAAGTCAAACAAAAATTATTTATGATTAACCTTACAATTAACCTAAGTATAATTCATCCCAGTGATTAAAAAAATGTGTATGACACATACTTGACCCTCTGACATTAGTAGGTTGAGTATAGTTCCTAGTAAAGGCAGTGTTTTCTAGTTGAGCTTTTTTACTCTTCTGGTTAGAAGTTTCTTCAAATCCATTCTCCTTTACACAATCTGATTTAAGAAAATTATATTTCTCAAACCCTAGAAAAAAGAAATGTTAAAAAACATTATTTTTATGAGGAAAAAGTTTACTCAATTTTTCTCTGAAATTGGTTTTTCAATGAACAGCCTGCCTAACGAATTAAAAATAAATTCCTGAATAAAAGCTATACTAGGCACACTACACAGTTTAAATTTAATAAGAAAAACATTTAAAGAATGATCAAATTTCACCTTTTACTAATAAAAAAATTCAAAGTAAAATTCCATCTCAGACTTTAAAAAATTCACATTTTAAAAATATCTAGTTACTGAACCCCCCCCCCCAACAAAAAATACCCCACAACCAAACAAGAGAACCACCAAGCTCTGAGAATAGCAAGGACTCCACAGTTCAACAATGAGCTACATATATTCTCTGATAGAAGTCTAGTGTCTGATTTTTGGTTAAAAAAAAATCTATTTTGCATGTACTCCATCCAATGTGAAAAATTAAATATGCCTCAGACTCAGTTTATTAATTTTCTAATAACTAAAGTTCCCACAACTTTCCTATTCCTAGCCCTGACCGTAAGAAATTATGCATTAATACATTAATATTAAGGACACCAAAGTTCATTTAATTGCCTAGCCTTATTACTTTTCAAATTTTTCTTTTTTCCATGGCAACAGGGAGGCTCTAAAGTGATTAGATTGTATTTAGAATGTTGGTTCATTCTTAGTTGTATTTATGGTTAATTGTTTTAAAATGGCTATATATATTTGTTTTAAAATGTTTATATGCTAGCAAAAGCTATGTTTGTGAGATGGCTCAGGATATAAGCTTGCTAAATAAAATAAAAATTAAATGACCATGTAATCCACTGGAAAATTTTGGGAGAGTTACTATCTCTACCTCAAATTGCCAGTCAGTCAGGATAAAACTAGAGAAGACTTTCATGTATAATGAGTGGGGAAAAAGGTGGATTACAAATATCATGTTGGCAGTTTATCTACACCATATTAAGCATCTGCCTATCTTACTAAATAAATATAGTTGTAAATATTCAAATTTCTATTACCAAATTCTTCTCCATTTCCTGTAGAGGCTTTATAATGTGACCAATGAATTATATGCTGAAGTGCATCTTCTGTTGATACCGGTGTACCTTCTGGGTTTGCATAAAACAGTAGCAGTGGCTGAAAGTGACACCGGAGGCACTTGGATACCACATCTTTCCATTTTGTTCCAACCTAAAAGAGAAGAAATCATTTAATCAGTTAAAAAAAAGTGGCAATCCAATTAAAAATAAACTGATATATCAAACAAATTAAAACTTTTAAAAATAGTTTAGACATGTGAAAAATACATGTCTAACTCTACAGCTTTTTGTGCAATGCATGTTTCTGAAGCAACAAATTCCTGCATGACTTAGAACAAAACTAAACCTTTCATTTGCAATAGTGGTGAATATCTGTAGCTTGGGTGGAGGATGAGGGTGAAGGTTTGTTCTCCAAGCTTATGGGTTGGTTTCAGAATCCAAATCAACCGCACAGCCAACCAGACATAGCACCACCCTCAATCAATCCACAAAACACCTCCCTCCACCCCCACCCTGCTAGCAGTTCATCTCCCAATGACTCTGACTTGATATAATCTCATCACAAGATCCACCAATGACTCATAAGTGACCCATTACAAGACATTCAATTGACACACCCACATCTGAAGCCCTTATAAACAGAACACTGACACTGACATCCCCTAACCTCTGCTGAAGAAGTTACCTAGCCTGGTAAGGAAATGTATGGAAATCAACCCACAAGCTCAGAGAGCAAACCTACACACACGCACGCATGCACACACGAATGCGCACACACACACACACACCAAACCTTTCATCTTAGGTTATGTGCATTAGAAAATAGATTCTGACTGCCTTAACTTTGATATTAAGACTTTACTTCATGTCTCAATATCAACATTAAGGAAGTGAGAGCATTATATAAAACATATTTAAGTAGCTTAGCAGCTATTGGGATGCCTCTATTTAAAATGCAATATCATAACTAACTTACCTCTTTAACATTAGCATCATCAAATAACACCCATTTACAACTCTTAGTATGAAAGGCGAAGGCACAATAATGTCTGCTTGCATAGCATATCATCCCCACAAGAAAAAGCTCACTGTTTTTGGCATGTTCATCAGTAACTCTATAAAACAACTGTAAAAATGATAGATAAGCAAGTAAGAAATAGAGATGAGGATAAATCACAATTTTACATAGCCATATCGAATGAGTCCATCCAGTTTATTTAGCAAAACATATAATGTAAGATACTGTAATCTTAGAGATGCCTTTTTCAGAATAAATCATTTTACCACTGATTCCCTCATTAGAAGCTATTATCACTTAGATCAATGGCCTAAGACTTCAAGCCTGTAAGTAGAAATGACCAATGAATAGCTTCTAGAAATTAAAAAAGTATCTTGACTTTTCAGAACCTTTTGATTATGTTGTTAACTATTTTACTAAATTTTAAGTTATCTTTTAAATTTCTGTTTTTGCTGTTTTAAAACTGAAATACTTTATACATTCTATGACCTCTAGGTGACTTTCCATACCATCAACCATGGTATTCTCCTGGGGCGGCTTTGGAGGATGGGAATGAGAGGCCTTGTGCTGTCCTGGTTCACTTCCTTTCTTTGTGGCCACTCTCAGTCAGTGTTGATAGGAGGTGAGAGATCCAGCCCTTGCTTTAGGGGGTTCCGCAGGGCTTGGTACTCTCTCCGCCTCTGTTCAACATTTATATGAAGCCGCTGGGTGAAATCATCCATCACCATGGACTGAGGTATCACCAATATGCTGATGATACTCAGCTGTATGTCCTGGCCCGTGGTGAGTTAAGTGATGTTGTGTCCTCCCTCTTGCAGTGTCCAGAGACTGTTAGGGGCTGAATGGGAAGCAATAGGTTGAAACTAAACGCTTGCAAGACTGAGTGGCTCTGGATTTGGGGTACGTTGGCTAAGGGAGAATTGCCACCTTTGGTCTTGGATGAGGTGACACTACTCTAAGATCATGTAATATAGGGGTTTTCCTGGACTCATGACTCCTACTCGAAGAGGCCAGGAGGGCCTTTGCGCAACTGCAGGTTGTGCGCCAGTTACGCCCTTTCCTGGGCCAGCAGTCCTTACTCACAGCCACTCATGCCCTAGTCACTTCCCATCTTGACTATTGCAATGCACTCTGCATGTGGCTGCCCTTTAAGAGCATCCAGAAGCTCCAGTTGGTGCAAAATGCAGCTGTTCACATGGTTTTGTTCAGATCCGGGTGTGCACATGTATTACCTCTCCTGCAGGAGCTGTATTGGTTACTGATTTGCTTCAATAAAATCCTTCATGACTTGGGACCAGGTTATCTGAGGGATCATCTCTTGCCGGTCACATCTACTTGACCTATCAGAGCAGAGGCGATAGGGAATGTTGCAGGTTCCGTCCCCAAAGGAGATACACCTGGTTGGACCCAGAAGGAGGGCCTTCTTCATGGTAGCTCCCTCTCTCTAGAACATCATTCCCCCAGAGATTAGAATGGTCCCCACTCTAATACTCTTCCGGAAGGCACCAAAGACCTGGGTCTGGGGAACCCAGAGCAGGATGGAGCCCATTAAATGGCTCGTCTGATCTGTTGTTGCTGGGGTGGGGGGTGGTTTTGTTATATTGTACTAAATTAATTGATTTGATTCTTTTTGTTAGTTTTTATTGTTTAAAATGTGATTTTTATTCGGTAAGCTGCCTTGAGTCGCCATGGGTGAATAAGTGGCAATATAAATTCAATAAATAAATAAATAAATAAATAGACATGCAGACTCTTGTGTATTCAGTTATACATTTGTATTATTCTCTTCTAGGGCACCTGAGAAATTTTATTAACTTAACCACATATTTTAAAAGTTGTATTTTGATTTGTTTTATACAAAAAAATACTAGGTAAAACATATCTTAATTATTTTAAAAAATTATTAAAAATAGTGGTAAATGATGCAGCATGGACATTTCTTGTGCAATCTAGTTATAAAGTTAAAAAAAATCCTTTTAGCATGGAATCCTATGTATGTTTTTCAGGGAGAAAGCCCAACTTCATTTGATTGAGTTTCTGAGTATAGGACAATATTAGACAAGACAGAGAACTCTATTCTATTCTATTCTATTCTATTCTATTCTATTCTATTTATTGAATTTATAGGCCGCCCAATCCCAGAATAATTTCAAAGTTCTTTTAATATGTTGAGAGAGCATAGAGAATTAAATATATTAATATGTTCAATACCCCTGGAAGATAAAGTTGTGTTGCTAGATTTCGGATGACATCTTCTGTTAGGTCAGAATGTTCAGAATCCCAAACTAATCCAATAGTAACTATTTCTGGAGAATTCATTAGAACACGGCGGATTTTAATTTTTTGGCCACAGTTGCTCTACAAAAAAAGAAGAGGGGACAAATAGTATGATCTAGATGCTTTTGAATGTCAAGAGCTTTATATAAACCACATAAAATTCACTTAGAAGACTATGCTTTATAATAGACAACATCTCCAATTTATTCACATGCCAAGTCCCATTATTTCTGATCTAAATGATTAGTTATAAAACTTAAATATGTTAGCAATATGCAGCAATTCATCTGAGTTTCCTACCACTTTTCTTTAAAGTAGGTTTCTTTAGAGACTAAAACAAATTAGTATAATTTGATTTTTTGGTCACTGCTGTTGCATAGTATCAGACATTTCGGCAACCCTTATAGAGGCATAATGGAAAAACTACTCACAACAAAAACTATTTTGAAAACTGTTAAGACAATCCGATTTAATAACTATTAAGGTATGCCACTATGTTTTCTAAAACTGAAGTATTTAATTGCAATTAATTGTTCTGTGTATCAATAAGCTATATGATTTTTACTAAAAATATGCATATCACCAGTTATTTTAAAATTTTCAAAATGATAATTTTTATACTTGATAATGTAAAGACTTTCTGTATAATAATTTTTTTCTATATTATTTTTAAAATAATTAACCTTTTTCAAATAGCTATTATTTTATCTGAGAGCCAATACCAAATAATTGTTTAAAGGGTTACTTTTCCTGGGATCTTGTTTTAATTTTGTATGACAACATGTATTACTTTGATTTATGATTTAAATATTTGAAGGCAAAAGACAAATTTTAAAAACAAACTATTCACTTAATGTTAAAAGTTTGGATTTATCATGATCAGGGGAAAATCCCCCACCAAAATATTAGAGCACTATTTCTTTTGTTAACTTACCGGACAATTCCTGAAGTCATCTGTTGTATTTGCAGCCTGAAGCAGTTGAGCAAACATTTCTGGCTTAAGTCTTTCATGTCTTTCCACCATTCTATCAATTTCATTGCTGTAAATGAAATAATTTGATTTAGTCCATTTTATTATTGCAATTAATAGAATGTTCTTATATTTGTAATATTTATATTCTTATTTTCACTAAGAACTATAACATAGCACAATGGCACTAATTCATCCCATTGTTCCATATAACAACCCTGTGTGGTAGACTGAGATGAGATCATGACTGGCATTTCCCAAGTGAGTTTCCATGATTGAAGGTGGACATTTTATTGCTTACATTAAAGGTGATGAGTAAGATTAGGAAAAAAAAACATTTATTTCTTTTATAAATTTAGATCTATTTAGGGCTATGTAAATCTTACAGAATATTACAAGTACAAAAATGTACATGAAAGGAAAATGTATTATGTAAATATGAATGTAAATATTTTCAAGGATGGAAAAAAATCAGATGCTTAGACCTTAAAATCAGATAGGGGCCTTAATAAGGAGCCTACGAACTGAGCTCTGGTCAAAACTACAACAGGTTGCTTTGTTTTTATGACTAGAATTTCTTTAAAAATGCTTCTGGAAAAAAACATGGCTTGAACATTCCTGTTCATATGAGGCAAATATACTGCAATAAACTTTTCCTTTGTAATTAAAAATACTGGGTTATATTGACAAAGCAAAATATTTTGCTATAATTTCAAAATTCACTAGACATTTCATTTATAGAAAATTATTCTATAATTAAAATTATTTATGGGCTTAAAATTTGGCAAATGTAGTGATGTCTAAAAATTATGTCTGTTATTCCATTCCATCACAATAACAAGATTATACTTGTTAAATGGATATATCTAGCTTACCTATAAATGTCCAGTATACTTGGAAGCAGGATTACAGCTTGGACTGATGGGAAATCATTCCGTGTAGTAGAATAAGATAATTTATTCCAAGAAGAAATTTCCTCTGCTGTGTCTTGTGAAATACTTTAATTTAAATTCTCATTTCCACCATCTGGGAGGAAGCAACTTCCTATTAGTTCAAGCTGTTATTTTAGTTCCCAAAGGAGGAAAATAAAGGCTGATGTAATAATCTTAAGAAATATTTGATCAGGTCAGAAGTTGCCAACTGTCACGACTTCTGAGCCTTAAAAACCTTTATATCTGTAACTTTTATCTAATTCTTATGCACCACCCAGAATTCTTTTTGTAAGATGGGTGGTTATTTAAGTGTGAGCAGAATCAGACTTATTTACTACTTCAATGAGGGACTACCAGAAAATCCTAATGCTGTAATGTAAAGTTGGAAAAACATCCAAGAAAATAATTGTAAACCATTTCTAGACAGTTGTGAAGAAAATTATGTGGACTTGTCCATCAAATCACCAGAAGCTGAGCATGTAATATATCTTATTGTGTTCATTAGTGTTTTTATCAATAGAATATCGCCCAAGGCTAGTAGATATTTCATTCTCACTTAACAACAAATACAATTGAATTTTTAGAACATATATATCTCTCTCCTAGGAACTGATTACACTTTCAGATGTAAATGTTCTTCAGCTTTAACATGATAAAGAGGTAATTAGGTTATTAATCAAAGCTAGTATTTTGCTCTAAGATGTGTCTCACTATTCACACTAAAATTGTTAACTTATGAGACCAATGGAGGAAAAATAACAAATAAATTTACTTACCATAATGCTGTGGTTGAAATGTAACGTACAAATTCTGTGAAAGGCAAAGGGTCTGAAGATGCCCCACAAGTACAACATACACACTGTAAATAAAAGAAAGGGTTTTTTTTATTTTTAGAGATTTTTAAATATTAAAGGAGTAAAATAAATATGAATAAATATCTTACCTGTTCATATAATGTCATAGCAAACTTTTGATGTGTTATGCAGGATTTGGAAGTGCACATATCCGTTCCATTGCTTGGTACTATGTGATAGTGAATTCTCTCAAGGATATTTTCCTAAACAAGTAAATGTCTTATATTAATCATGATTATGCTATGCAATCAAGTTGGTGTTGACTATAAGAGGCTTCATATGCAAACATTATCTGTCTCCAACCTGTTCTTTCAGATAATACATTTCACCAATTGAACCTTCAAAATGGCTTGTACTGTATATATGTTTTAATATAGTCATTTTTATCTCACAAGAACAATTTCTGTTTCATCCTTTGCTCTATGTTCCTACCGTGTTTCCCCCAAAATATGATCTACTCAGAAAGTAAGTCGTAGCTTGATTTTTACATGTGCACCTGCTATAAGCCCTAACCCCAAAATAAGCCCTAATTAAGACCCCAACCACTACAGGGTGCACAGGTAAAAGCTAGAGTGGGTATGGGGGGGTTGGAGCTGCCCTACTACTTACCTTTGCATAGTTGCACACCTCATAAGAAATGGCTATTTTTTTTTGCTGCAGCCAGCAAGGCTTTCCTGAAGGCCCCTGTAGCTGATAACAGATCGATCTGGAGCTGTGTTATCAGCTGCAGAGACCTTCAGGAAAGCGCTGCTGGCCTTATCAGGCGAAGAAGTTCCTGAAGGCCTCTGATAGCAAAAAAGAGGCCAGGGGGCAACATGCATAAGTGAGTCAGTGAACGACGACTCTCCCCCCCAAAATAAGACCTGGTGACATTTTTGTTGGGTTTTATTTTTGGGGAAACGCAATATGCCCAGGATAAAGGGAAAATAGCGATTGGGGAAAAAATTAAGTGATCCCTCCCCATTGTATTCAGAATTATAATCTTTGTATCAAATGAAATGATGACCCAATTCTAATTAGGTATATACAATAGCTCAATTTTTTAAATATTACAAATTATTTATTTGTACTTTATTTTCAGTCTTTAAAAAAAGATTATCATTGTTGTTATAATCCTTTTCAGAGTCCAAAAGCATATTGCCCTAAACTAATTCATCTTTTGAAATATCAAGTATGGCTCTTTTGCATTCATTCCAAGAATCAAAACAATATCCAAAATAAATGTAAAATAAATGTTAAATACTGTAATATCATGATACTTACAAAACATTCTGCAGCATCATCCATAAAACCAAGCTGAAATCGCTGTTCATCTTTAAAACTTTCAGCCAAGGCATGCCTCATGTTATTTGAAGGGAGAGCCTTTTCTCGACTGTGTTGGAATTGGGAAAATATTGTCTGGAAATCAATACCAATATTTATGATTTTATCTATTAAATGATTGGGAACAATATAGCAATAGCAATAGCAATAGCAGTAGCAGTTAGACTTATATACCACTTCATAGGGTTTTCAGCCCTTTCTAAGCGGTTTACAGAGTCAGCATATTGCCCCCAACAATCCGGGTCCTCATTTTACCCACCTCGGGAGGATGGAAGGCTGAGTCAACCTTGAGCCCATGAGATTTGAACAGCCGAACTGCAGAACTGCAGTCAGCTGAAGTAGCCTGCAGTGCTGCATTTAACCACTGCGCCACCTCGGCTCTTAGCATACATAAGTACATCAAAACAGAGAGTCTAGCATTTGGTGGTGCTGAGAACTTGTGATTCTCCAGATGCTACTGAACTAGAATGAAGATTTTTCACTATTAGCTGGCTATCAATTCTGGAAATTGACCTTCAGTAACTAAAAGGCAATTTGTTCCTTATCTGATATAGAAAACTGTTCTGTAACAATGCCCATTTTGAAAACAGCACAGGTATCCAATACATAATACTATTTACTTGTGATACGCCATAATTCACTTCTGCTTTGTTCCTCTTACAAGTTGATAGGCTAAAAAGGACTCAAAATCAATATTCTTGGCTGTTTACAATATGTTTGAATTCAAATCTTGCTGTTTCGTCTGCTATCAAATCTCATTAATAACCCAAGAATCTGGAATCTTAGAACAATCATGAGCCATGATGGCACAGTGGTTAGAATGCAGTATTGCAGGATAACTCTGCCCATTGCCAGGAGTTTGATCCTGACTGGTTCAAGGTTGACTTAGCCTTCTATCCTTCTGAGGTTGGTAAAATAAGGACCCAGATTGTTTAAGGAAATATGCTGATTCTTTAAGCCACTTAAGAGACTGTTGTAAAGCACTTGTGCTATTGCTATATTTCTACTTATTTCAAATAAGAGAGAATTATATTTGAAATGGACTATAGTTATCATCATCAGAAATATATTTTAAAAATTCCACCAAGAATTTTCTTGACATTTGAGCTCATTGAAAATCAGAAAAGTTGAGCCAGAATGTTTGCTTCTGCTACAATTATGAGGAAATCATAAAAGGCTAAAAGATCAACACTTATAGCAAATCAATTCCTACAATGGCTAATCATGGCAGGAAAGCTGTATCTTTATCCTTTCTTTAGCAACTTGTGTACTCATGTAAGCATGCAACTATACAAAGAACAGCAACAAAATGAGGCAATATAATATTCCTAGTAGTAAATGAAGAAAGAACTGGTATTCAATAATTACACTTGTTTTTCTTATCTATTTTTCCCCTTTACTAAGCTAAATCTGTTTTAGACAAAGAACACACAATTAGTATCCGTTAAACCAATTCATGGGCCTCTCAACCTAATTTCAAAACACCGATACAAAGAATCAATCCAAACATCTGCCATAGATTATTTTTTAGTTGGTTCCTCAAGTTTTGTGGAAATAAAGAGTATCACTAAAAAATGTTCTAATCTAATCAATTTCAAAATGCTACCATTATTATATGATAATCCACAAATTGTAATCGAAGGAATAAGTCCTTAAAAAAAATGCCCACTCTGCTTTAGGGTTTATGAATATTGATCAAAACCAATTAAAACAATTAGCAAATCATACTTTAAAGTTTTCCCCCCTACAATTTAACTTATTAGATGTGTCAATGAATCAGAGATTTTCATGAATAGTTGCCAAAATTAATTTTCATTCATACAAGATAAATAAGAAAATTATGAAATTACCTTCAAAGCACAAAATATGCAGGCATCACCTTGGCAAACATGTCCTGTGAGACCTCTTAAACTTCGACGGAATATATCAAGTTGCCATAAAACCTACAAAGAAGAAAAAACTAATATCCATTTTTGCCAAAGATTTATTTTTATTCTAAAGGTCATCTACAATTGCTATTTTTTGCTACAGATGCACCACGATAACATGAAATACTACATTTACATTGCTTTTGAGTGGATGCTCTTAACTTTAATGGATCCTGCAATAATTCTGAATAGATATTAAATGACAATCAATTGTTTCCTATCCAACTAGTTTTCTTTCATTCAGTCTATTATTGTTTAAACCAATATAATTTTACGCAATATTTTTCCTAGTAATTTTCTTGAGTTGTTATGGTTATTCATACAGGATATAGGATATGGATGTATATATTATGTGTGTGTCTATGCATATATAATTTTACATATCATAGTTATTTCACTGAACATAACAATAATGAGCACAAACCCTATAATAATTATTGTTATATATTCATATGTCACATTGAAGCAACATTCTTCAGAACTCTGATTTTAAAAAAGAATGGGCATTACTTGATCACTTCATAAAGCTAAAAATAATTAAACCCATAATTCCATACAGTATTTTGTACTGTTTGGAAGAAGAAACAGCAGTTAAACAGCCTTTTAAACTAAGAACATATCACTTGGTAGGACAAAAATAAACCAGATTCCATTTAATAAAAAAACTTAGCATCACTTCCTGCCAGGAACAAATATGGAGTACATGAGGGTATATTAACTCTAAATTTTAATTCATATCAAATAACCATATATGCAATCATTTCAATTTCTAAGACAAGAAAATAGGTTTAATTTTAATTGTGTATTATTTCAGAAATAATTCCAATTATTAAATATATCTCATAAGCATCCATCATATCATGTAGGTAATTCTTTCCATGAACAAATGTCAAATTGTCATATTTTAACCCAGTACAGAAGAAAAGATACATCTAAGAAAAATGCTTAAAACTCTTAAGGAAACCCTTGCTAGCTTAGTTAGATGCAAAGTTTGACAGTAATATGAACAATAAATAATTTTTGATAGTAAACATTATGAATTTTAATCCAGTCAATTTATTCTTGCAAAATAATAGTATTTTGCTATGAAAGAAAGCCATCATTAGTGGATCAATCATAGTATTCACCTTTGTTCAACACTAACTAACATGAGGGGGAATTAAGGAAGAAGGGACAGATACAGCACTTTTCAATAAGTTTAGGAAAATGGAATTTTAATTATTGATAGTATATGATATTTTAAAATTATGCTTTAATATTCATATATTGTGAAATTTTTCAAGTAACATTATTATTGCAAGGCTGTGTAGTTGTCATAACATCCTCTAATATACAATATCCTTTCCAGAGAATTATTGTACTTAGAATAATAATACTTTGAATTACAGCCAACCTCACAAGCACTTCAGATACTCCAATTGAAATTCTTTGTATTTCATTACAAGTGGTGGGTTTCAAAAAATTTTGAAACCTCTTCTGTAGGTGTGGCATGCTTTGTGGGAGTAGCTTGCTGGCCATTTGACCGGGTGGGAGTGGCTTGCCAGCTATGTGATTGAGTGGGAGTGGCTTGGCAGTCATGTGACTGGGTGGGCGTGGGCAACTTGTAAAATGTGGTGAAACTCACTTAACAACGCTTTTGCTTAGCAACCAAAATGTTGGCTCAGAAACTCTTGGCATTTGAAGCACGCAAGTCTTAAAGCTGTCAAGTTACAACCTTTCACCCCTAACCAGGGATGTGCAGTCACTAGAGGCAGGGGAGGCGGGGCCTCACCAGTCTCCTGAGGGAAAGGAAGAATTTTAAATATAT